ATTTTATTTATTTATTTATTTATTTATTTATTTATTTATTTATTTATTTATTTATTTATTTATTTATTTATTTTAGAGAGGTTTTTTGCTGTAGGGCGCTTGTGCTCGCCAGAAAGATAGAGAGAAAGAAGGACAGAAAGCGAGAAATCACTCCCCGGGGGGGCATGGCCATCGAGATCTTGGGCACGCATGCACACATGCCCAGCGTGAGTTTAAGCTACCGGGTCCGGGACTCCAACCGTGGTGGACTACCTGCGAGTCCAGCAACATAGCCGTTATGTCACCTGCTGGTCCAAGGGGGGAGATTATTAAGTGAAACTAAATTTTGCCTCCAGAGGTCCTTGCACCCAACCCTCGTGTAACACACTGCAACTAACGTTACGTTAACAAACTAAAAATTTAAGAATCTATTTTTGTAGGAAAGGGGTAAGTCTCAGCTGATCACAGCATTCAAGCTTCAGTCAGTCGTGGACCGCCTGATTAGACCGTGTTCAAATGAGGCAGACAGGGCCATAACCAACCAGTCTGTTTCCACGGCTCAGTTTCTGTTTCCCACATTACAAAGTGGAGCTCCCTACACCTCTTCTGGTTCTGAGGACTGCTCGATTTGCATATTGTTCCTTTGCTCAGATAAATTCTGCTAAATTTAATTGGTCTAAAGTTTGTTTTTTAACTACCCCACTCCCGTGCCCTTACATGTTAATCCTCCTGGGATTTTGGGCACGCACAAGGGTCCAGCATGATTTTCAAGCCACCAGGCCCATGACTCGAACCAAGGTCAGCCATATGGAATCCAGCACCTTAAACACTGTGCTACCAGCTGGTCCCACACTGGCCATTTTTAATGCTCACAGTTGTCTACGTTGAGCCTCCAGGAATTTCTCAATGACAGTCTAAGCTTGTGTAGGCCAGCATTGTTTCCCTGGGAGGTTTTTCCCTAAGCAGTCTCCGTTCTACTGAAGTTATAACTTGGCTTTGCCTGTTTGTCTCTCCATCCTTGGGGACTGCAGTTTGTCTCATGTCCTCACCCCTTAGGGATCCTAGAGGAATTGTTGATTTTTCAGTCTGTTTGGCTTTTTACTTTGTTGTCAGGACAGAGTTGTAACTTCCAGGCACCAAACAAGCAGAACAAGAAATGAGAAGTCTATTTTTGAGCCAGCAGGTGGCACGGTGGTTAAGACACTGGACTCTCACGTAGCTGAGCGTGGTTCAAGAGCTGGGCCTGGTAGCTTGCTTTCTCACTTTCCCTCTCTCTCTGTGTTTCTCTGGTGAGCACATGTGTCCTATAGCAAATTAAAATAATAATAAATTAAATAATTCATTTAAAAAAACGTTCACCTGGGACTAGCAGGTGGCATAGTGATTAAGGTGCTAGAATCCCATGTGGCTGACTAGTTCAAGTCCCAGACCCAGTGACTTGAAACTCAAGCAGGGTGTGTGTACGTGCATGCTCCAAATCCTGAGAGGATAAGGAGAAGGGATGGCGGAATGGCCAGCCCTGCTTGGGGGTGATTTCTCACTTTCTGTTTCTCTGTCTCTAGCAAGCACATGTTCCCTATAGCAAAATACTCTCAAAAAACAAACAAACAAACAAACAAACAAACAAAAAACAGAACCCCAAAAACTTTCAAGTGGCATACCTTAGCATTTTATCCTGTCTTGTTTTATATTGTATCTGTTGTCTGAAATGTTTGTTTTGCTCTCGTTACCTGTTGAATATAGGTGATATTTTTTTTCCTAGGGTTGAGGCAAGGAATATGAAATATGTGCACACATTAGAGGAACAGGATACATCAAACACACAGATGGTAAGTGGTGTGTGTGCAGTTTCCAGTCATTGTCCTCAAATGGCACGTATTTGTATTTTAGAATCTGGAATTTGGAAGGTTGCCATTGGTCCACACTAGCCGATGAATGTACGTTTATTTCTATAATGCAGCTGAATACAAACTCTCAGAGCATCTTGTGCTAATTTTCTTAGGCTGGAAAACTTGGAATTAAAAATAAATTAAAAACCTTGGGACCAGCAGATGGCGTAATGGCTATGTCGCTGGACTCCCATGTAGTTGATCACAGTTCAAGTCCCGGACTGGGTGGCTTAAACTTATGCCAGGTGCATGTGCATGCGTGCCCAAGATCCCGAGAGGAGAATGGAGGAGAAGGGACTACAGTGTGGCCATCCCCCCTGGGGGGTGATTTCTCGCTTTCTCTCCCTCTCTCTCCCTCTCTTTCTCTCTCTCTCTCTTTCTGGCGAGCACATGCGCCCTATAGCAAAATCCTCTCCAAAAAAAGAAAAAAAAAAATTAAAAACCTAAATTGAAAAAAAAAAAGACCACACAAATGTGATGTGGATTATAGTAGTCATTATCGTTTTTATCTCTAGTTGTAACCTGATAAGTTTAGGAGCTTTCTCCTCCGGCATGTGGTCTTCCCCTTGCTTGGTATTTTTCTTGGTATCTTTTCTTTATTCCATCTGGCATCATAGACCAAATTGTCATGGTATTGTGTCTAAATCCTTTTCAGCAAATACCTTTTCCTCTCTTCCTTGGGATTTTCCCCCTTAGTTCTTCTTGCCTTCTTCCTTTTTCCCCCAGGATAATCTTTTTGGGTGGTGGTACGGTATTTCTTTTCTTTTCTTTTCTTTTGCCATAGGGCACATGTACTCACAGAAGACCAAGAAAGACAGTGAGCGGGAAAGTGAGTAATCACATCCTGGGGAATATGGCCACACTACAATCCCTTCTCCTCTTGGGATTTTGGGCATGCACACACACGTGCTGGTATGATCTTGAAGCCACTGGGTCTGGGGCTCGAACTGTGGTCAGCCCTGTGAGAGTTTAGCCACATCAACCACCATGCCACCTGCTGGCCCCAGTAGGGTGTTTCTTAATCAATAAGCCAGCATGGTTTTCCTATTGGTTTTTATGTAAAGTCTAGACTTTTTCCTTTAATTGTTTCTAAGGAAGCTTTGTAAGCTCCACTGAAGAAATACCTTGTAGGGACCAGCTGTTGGTGTAATGGCTATGTCGCCGAGTTCCCACATAGTCAACCGCGGTTCGAGTCCCGGATCCGGCAGCTTAAACTCACGCCGGGTGCGTGTGCGTGCGTGCCCAAGATCCTGAGAGGAGAATGGAGGAGAAGGGGTTGTGGCGTGGCCATCCCCCCTGGGGGCTGATTTCTCGCTTTCTGTCTCTGTCTCTCTCTGTCTGTCTGGTGAGCGCACGTGCCCTATAGCAAAAACCTCTGCCAAAAAAAAAAAAAAAAAAAAAAAAAAACCTTGTAGAAGCCATGCTAATTCTGAGATGAAATGTCTTAGCTTTGAAATCCTGTTGTATTTAAGTTTCATGACACTTCCTGCTACTTGATTGGGTACTATGTTTTGTTTTGTTTTGTTTTGTTTTGTTTGGGGGAGGGTTAGAGATATTTTGCTATAGGGCATGTGTGCCCACTGGAGAGACAGAAAGTGAGAAATCACCCCCCAGGGGCAGTGGCCACATTGCAGTCCTTTCTCCTCCATCCTCCCCTTGGGATTTTAGGCATACATGTGTCCGGTGTGAGTTTCAAACTGCCGAGTCTGGGACTCAAACTGCAATCAGCCCTGTAGGAGTTCAGGACCTTAACCACTATGCCACCTGCTAGCCCCAATATGTTATTTTTAACATGAAGCTTATAGAAAGTGAAGAGAAAGGATTGTGGCATGGTCACCCTCCTTCTGGGGCTGAGGGGCTATTGTTTCACTTTTTCTCTCCAGCAAGCACACACATCCTATAGCAAATTTAAATATGTATATATATATATGTGTGTGTGTGTGTGTGTGTGCGCGCGCGTACATATAGAGAGAGTATACAACTTACCTAACGTTTACATCGTATTAGGTATAAGCTGTCCAAGATAATTTAACGTATACAGGAGGACGTATGTAGGTTATATGCAGATACTATATCATTTCATATAAGGGACTTGAGCATCCGTGGATTTTGGTATCTGGGGGCAGGGGGTCCTGGAACCAATCCCCTGTGGATACCAGGGACCACTCTGCTTGGAAGCACCCTACACATAATGATCATCTGGGAAGTTATGATTATCATGATTCTGATCTCCTTCTATCGAGGTTTTGTGGGATTTTTGTTTATTTGTATTCTGGGGGTGGTTTTGTTTTAAAGATTTTCTTTTTAATTTGATGTGAGAGAAAGTGAAAAGGCAAGCTGCCAGGTCTGGGACTGAAACCGTGGTCAACCATATGAGAGTCCAATACCTTAACCACCACGCCACCTGCTGGTCCTTTTTTTTTTTTCCAGTTTGTTACAGGACACATGCACTGTGGCTGGAGAGACAGAGGGAAAGTGAGAAATCGCCCTGTAGGGGTATGGGCAGTCCACAATCCCTTCTCCTCCATTCTCCTCTCAGGATTTTGAGCACACAGGCCCAGTGTGTTTTTCAAGCCACCAGGTCTGGGACTCAAACTATGCAGTTAGCCCTGTGGGATCCAGAGCCTTCACCACCATGCTGCCTGATGGCCTCCATCTAAGTTTTTAACCCATCCTCACTTCAGGACAAATACCAGGAAATTGAGTAACTGGGACAAAAGATTTTACCAGCTTAAGCAATCAGCACATATTGTTAAATTGCCTGTCTTGCAGTCTGTTTCTTCTATGCACTCATCCTTACAATTATTTCATGTAATGTGATTCTAGACTCTTCGCCTTCTTAGACTCAAACGTTGACCTAGTAAATTCCAGTTGGTCAGTGCTCACCTAAATTGAGATCGTGTTTATTTCTCGCTTCCTTGCGGCGTACTGTCCTGGAGAAGCTCACGTTTGCTTGTTTTCAAGGTGGTTTGTATCCTGCCCAGTAACAACAAACAGATTTATGATATGATAAAAGAATACCTGTGTACTACCTGCCCGATTCCCAGCCAGTGCGTGGTAGCACGGACCTTAAAAACGAGTAACCAGAAAACCAAAGATATCATTACTGAAAAGATTGCTCTGCAGATAAACTGCAAGATGGGAGGAGCTCTCTGGAAGGTGGATGAAGGGGTATGTTGGATTTCATTGCTTTCTCATTTGTGTTTACTGAAACTTAAAATTCCCTCCAACTTTTTTTTTTTTAATTAGTTTGCTATCAGGCATATGTCCTCACCAGAGACAAGAGATTGGGAGAGAGAGAGAGAGAAAGCAAGAAAGAACCCCCACCTACCCACCCCCAGGGTACATGACCATGCTGCAATCCCTTTTGCTCCATTCTCCTCTCAGGATTTGGGGCATGCATGCACTGTCTCCTGGTGTGGTTTTTTTTTCTTTTTTTGGAGAGGTTTTCGCTGTAGGACGCGTGCACTCGCCAGACAGAGAGAGTCAGAGACAGAGAGATAGAAAGCGAGAAATCACCCCCCGGGGGGATGGCCACGCCGCAATCCCTTCTCCTCCATTCGCCTCTTGGGATCTTGGGCACGCACGCACATGCGCCCGGCGTGTTTTAAACCACCCGGGTCCGAGACACGAACCGTGGTCGACTATGTGGGAGTCCAGTGACATAGCCATTACGCTAACTGCTGGCCCCCACTCCTGGTGTGTTTTTCAAGCCACCAGGCCCAGGGCTCAAACTGCACAGCCAGCCATGTGGGATCCAGCTGCCTTCACCACCACCACGCCACCTGGCTTGCCTGCCAGCTGTTTTTTTTTTTTTTTTAATTATTTATTGTCATCATTACTATTTTCCACTTTTGCTACAAGGTATGCATGCTCACCAGAGAGAGACAGAGAAAGAGAAGGAAAGCGAGAAAGCAAGCCGCCAGGTCCTGAACCTGAAACACCGTCAGGAACCACTGTCAGTCTTGTGGGAGTCCAATGCCTTAACCACCACGCCACCTGCTGGCCCGTGCCTGCCAACTATGTTTTTTAATGTAGCGGTTACATCTCGCTCGGACTCTAACTCAATCCCCAACCTTTTCCTCAAATAATGAAGGAAATGAACGTGATGTTCATTGGTATCGACTGTTTCCATGATGTGGTCAGGCGGCAGAGGTCAATTGCAGGATTCGTGGCCAGCTCCAATAAAGAATTAACACGGTGAGTGAGCGTGGGCAGACCTGGTGTCTATGGGCCAGATAGGAGAGGGGGACCTAACTAGTATGGTTGTCTATTCAAAGGGTTGGGAGTTTAGTGGCCAAGTAGTTCTTAGCCACGTGTTCTGCTTTTCTGACAAAGTTAGGCTTCTAAAACACTTCCCAGGAATGATTGCTCTGTGTCATTTCCTCCTGCGACCTAACATGCCACAGATATGTCAGCTTACAGAACCTGTCTGTTTCTGCACAGTTCTTGGAGTCAGACTCTGGCCCTGCGTGGCTAACAGGCAGAAATTAAGAATGAGCCCAACCACGTTCTCATCTAGAGGCTTGGTGGTCCTCTTCCAAGCTCCTGGAGTTGTGGCAGAATTTATTTCCTTGTGGTGTAGGACAGGGGTCCCCATCTTCTTTATGGCTGTCAGCACTGGGCCAGTCTTTCTGCTCCTTTTCTTGTTTTTTTTTTTTTTTTCTTTTTAAGGAGAGATTTTTTGCTATAAGTTGCGTGCACTCACCAGTGAGACAGGGACAGAGAGACAGAAAGCCAGAAATCATCTCCCAGGGGGCATGACCACACCATAATCTCTTCTCCGTTCTCCTCTTGGGATCTTTGGGCACACATGCACACATACACATGTCTACCCAGCGTGAGTTTAAGCTGCTGGATCCAGGACTTGAACTGCGGTCGACAACGTGGGAGTCCAGTGATGTAACCATCACACCAGCTGCTGGTCCCTATGCTCCTTTTTCACGTGGCCCCCTCCATCTCCTAACCAGCCAGGGCAAGTTGAGTCTTATTCTGCTTTGACACGCTCTGGTATACTCTTCTGCTAATGGCACAAAATGCTCTGCTTTTAAAGAGGCTCACATGATGACATACAACCATCTGGAAAATCTCCTTACATCAAGTTAACTGAGCCATCCAACGTAACATGGTCACAGGGGTGACATCTTGCCCTAGTCACAGGTTCCAGGGCTTAGGACACATGGGATTCTCATAGGCTCTGATTGGGAAGTCTTTTTATGAGGATTATTAATATATAGGAAAGTGCTTAAGATGAAGGTTAGTTGGGACCAGCACTTGGCATGATGGCTATGTCGCTGGACTCCCATATAATCGACCGCGGTTCAAGTTCCAAACCCAGTGGCTTAAACTTATGCTGGGAGCATGTGCGTGCGTGCCCAGGATCCCAAGAGGAGAATGGAGGAGAAGGGATTGCGGCATGGCCATCCCCCCTGGGGGGGGGGGGGTTCTTACTTTCTGTCTCTGTCTTTCTGATGAGGTGATTTCTTACTTTCTGTCTCTGTCTTTCTGATGAGTGCACGCTTCCTATAGCAAAAACCTCTACAAAGAAACAAAAAGAGATGAAGGTTGGTGAAGAGATGTGGAAACATAACTCGCGTCCAGGCACATATAGGTATAGGACTTGTCTTCCTCTCACATTTATATGTAACGTGCCTGCAGAAGGAGACAGGCTCTGTATCCTATGCCTCTCCATTTCTCTGGGAGCCAATGCGTGTTCTGCCCTTATGCTGTACCTTCACACGTGTCTGTATACTCTTAAGGGTGTAGCCCCTGTGCGTTACATGATGTGTGATCACAAATCACCGCAATGTTTAATGGTGTTTGTGGCTCATGAGGTATGATTTCAGAGTATTTGCAAATGGAGATCTGTCTTTCTTGTTTTGTTTTTGCTATAGGGTACAAGTGCTCACTGGAGAGAAATGGGGGTGGGGGGAAGTGAGAAATCATCCCCCATGGGGGATAATTATGTCACAATCCCTTCTCCTCCTTTCTCTTCTTGGGATTTGGGGCATGCACACACACATGCCCTGCGTATTTTCCAAGCCACCAGGTGCAGAGCTCAAACTGCACCCTCAGCCATGTGGGATCCAGCCGCCATACCCACCAGGCCAAATGGCTGACCCCAGAAGATCTGTCTTCATTTCTACAGGTGACATCATGTTTTTTCCAGTCATACTCCATTTTCCATACAATAACATTATTTTGCTCTGCTTTTTCTCTGCAATTAGAAAATAACACTGCAGCAATAAGGGGGGGGGGGCATTGTGTTTTTTTGTTCCTTCAGCAAATATGTCTATTTCTTACCTTGTTCAAATACTGAGGATGCAGCAGTGGACACGTAGAGTCAAAATGCCTGATTGTATCCCATGAAGTTTAAATTCTCATGAAGAGGCCAACAAATAAATATGTCATCTACAGAAAATGTTTCCGGTCTTTACCAGATGTCTCCCAGGGGCGGTCACTCCACTGATGGAGTAGGGTTAACCTGAAGCAAACATAAATGCAAGAGAATATATGTATACCGTTCACCCTCCATCTCTATGGCTTCTATATCTGCTGATTCTACCAAGCACATCCAAAAATATTTAGGGGAAAAAAAAACCACAAAATATAACATGAATTAAAAGCAATACAGTATAACAGCCACCTACATAGCATTCCATTGTGTTAGCAACTAGTCATCTAGAAATGATTTAAAGTATATGGGGTGGCATGCATAGATTACAAGTAGATGCTGTACCATTTTATGGAGGGGGCTTGAACATTCGTGGATTTCAGGGGTCTTGGAACCAATCATGGCAGGTACCAGGAACAACTGTAATTTTACTTGCTATGTTGAGAAAGTATCAAAACAGCTGTCACTGTTTCCAAGCAAACTGCTTCCCTGGAGATTATTACAGATGAGCCATTGCTTAAAACATCGACTGATTAGGGTCAGCAGGTAGTGTAATGGTTAAAGTGCTGGACTCCAACATGGTCAACTGTGGTTTGAGTCCTGGATCTAGTAACTTAAAAATCATACCAGGTGTGTGTGTGTGTGTGTGTGTGTTTGTGTGTGTGTGTGTGTGTGTGTGTGTGTATGTGTGTGCGTGCAAAAGATCCAGGGAGGAGAATGGAAGAGAACGGGTTGCATCATGGCCAATCCTCTTCTGGAGTGATTTTTCACTTTCCCTCTCACTGTGTCTGTCTCTCACCCAGGACACACATGTCCTTAGGCAAAAACTTAAACAACAACAGACACGGACTGACAAGCAGGAACTTCCAGGAACACTGGGTTTTCATTCCCAGTAGGTGAAACTGCAGTAGTCATGGAGAATAAAAGCATGAAAAAAATTGTAGCAACATTAACCAATGCTTCCTTTTTTAATCTTACCTGTGTGCATTCAAAAATTTATAAAATGCCTAAGATGTCAGAAGAGACCAATACTTTGATCTCTCTGTAGGGACATGAGAGAACCAATTCCTTATTCGATCCTCAGCTATTGACAGTACTTTTTTGGGGGGGAGGAGGGACAAAGATTAATTCAGAATCCAAATGATGAAAGTTTTAAAATCATGTTTTCCAAACTGATGCTTTATTTTTCTGTGAGCAGGTGGTACTCTAAATGTATCTTCCAGGAACCGGGACAAGAGCTTGTGTACGGGCTGATAAGTTGCGTGGAAGGTCAGTGTCTTGTAGAGTTTGGGGTGCGCACATTACACCAGTAGTTCTCCGTCAGTGGAGTGATTGCCCCTGGGGGTCATCTGGTAAAGACCAGAAACATTCTGTTGACACAACTTGGGTGGAGGTACTACTGACATTTAGTCTAGGGGGTAAAGGACAGATGCTGCCAACATCCTACCACACATAGGACAACTCCACCACCACATGCCAAAGATAAAAATGGTTAAAAATGTCAATAGTACTGGGGCCAGCCAGTGATGTGGTGGTTGGGGCAGCCAGATCCCATGTGGCTGACTTCACAGTTCGAGTTCAGGGCTGCTGGCTTGATAAACATGCCATGTATATGCCACACATGCCCAAAATCTTGAGGGGAGATTGGAAGAGAGGGAACTGCAGTGTGGCCATCCCCTGTGGGGGGTGATTTCTCATTCTCTCTCTCTCTCTTTCTGTCTCTGGCAAGCATGCATGCCCTGTAGCAGAACAAAAACAAAAACAAAGTCAATAGTACTATTGTTGAGAAACTCTAGACCAAACTGAGGAAGTAGAGAAACTGCTCTAAAACTGTAATATTGTAAAACAAACCTAGAAGTCATTAAAGTGCTAGCAGCCAGTTTATTCCAACCACGATTTACTTACATATGTCCCTGGATTTCTTTCAGGTGCCCTGGATGCATGGTATAGAAACAATCAGTGTTTGCCAAACGCTCTTATTGTGTATCGGGATGGAGTAGGAGATGGTCAGCTTCAAGCACTGCTGGACAAAGAAATACCACAGATTTTGAGTTGTCTACAAACACCAGATGTTAAGTAGGTATATGAGTGATAAGATATAGATTTCATAAATGCTATATTTTAGTCTTTTTAAAAAAGAATTGATGTTCCGGGGGGGGGTGGGGAACAATATGATATATAATGAGAACAAAGGAATGTATTATGAACTGTGGGCCTCAGTGGGTGGATGAAGAAAAACAGATCCTCTTTGGCTTTGTGTTCTGTATCCAAGTCAGAGTACAAGAATTAGAACATGGTAGTAGCAAATTGTTTCCCCCAAGGGATCCCTGATGAATCTCTTTTTTCCATTGTCTTTCAAGTCTTCCTGTGAGAGGATGTGTTAACCTCAGATCCTCATAGAAATCCATGAACATAGTATACCAATGATTCATGCTTATCCTTGAGTTTTGGAAGTCTTGGGATTAGGGTATCCTTTCATCTGGCTCCTCCAGCCTCATCTGTTGAGAGAAGGCCTGTTGGCCAGGAAAGAGAGCAGAAATGATCCTGAGGTTGATAGGAAGAGACCCTCCCCTTTCTATGTGGGAACTATGAATAGATACTTCATATTCACTACTTTAATCAGGATCAAGGGGAAAGAGAAAACCATAAGATTAGACTGTGAAGGCTGTTGTCTGCTGATTATTTCTAATAGGCCCTGTGTGTGGTGTTTTTAATATCTTGGATTCTTCTAAGACTGAATAAACATAATGACACTTACCTTAATTTTTAAAGGTTAAATCTAACATTCATTGTGGTGAAGAAACGAATAAACACCAGATTTTTCATTGAGAGTGAAGGAAATCTTCAAAATCCAGAGCCAGGAACCATCGTTGATATGGAGTTGACCAGGAAAGAATGGTAAGCCAGCCTTATTTAGTAAAATCACTGATAACTTTGCCTTAAAACATTTCTGCTTCTTGGGACCAGCAGTTAGTGTAATGGCTGTGTTGCTAGACTCCTATGTAGTCAACTGCGGTTCGCGTCCCGGACCTGGTGGCTTAAAACTCACGCCGGGCGCGTGTGCGTGCATGCCCAAGATCCCAAGAGGAGAATGGAGGAGAGGGGATTGCAGCTTGGCTATCCCCCCTGGGGGGTGATTTCTCGCTTTCTGTCTCTCTCTCTCTGTCTGTCTGGCGAGCGCACGTGCCCTATAGCAAAAAAAACTCTCAAAAAATAAAAAATAAAAAACTTCTGCTTCTTTACAACTAATTCCATCTGTGTTTTTTTGTTTGTTTGGTTGGTTGGCTGTTTTGCTGTTGGCCAGGAATTCTTACTAGGGTTTAGAAATTGTGGCTGGTCTTCTAGTTGTTTAAGTTTCTACAAAAAATTTTTTACAAACAAAAATATAATTGTTCATTTTAGCATTACCCTAAAACTCCTTTAATTATGAGCATAAAAGATAGTAGTTATGTTTATATTGGTTTATATTGACAGTTTGGAGTCAGCACAAATAAAATTGTATTGAATTATACCCTATTGAAGTGTTTATTGCTGTAATAACTGAGGGGAATTTCTGTTTTTTTTTTTAATTATTCATTTAACTTTATTTATTAGTTTTCTTAGTTTAGTTGTATTTGTTTTGTTTTGTTTTTAATTTGACCAAAGAGAGAAAGAGAGGGAAAGTGAGAAAGCAAGCAACCATGTCCAGGACTGAAACTATGGTTGGCTGTGTGGGAGTCCAGTACCCTTAACCACCGTACCACCTGCCAGTTAATGGGAGTTTCTGTTTTTTAAATATTTTGCTGTTTTTAAAGACAGAAACATGAAACACATGAATAATATTTTAAAAGTAGAGTAGAAACTAATTTCTCTTATGTGAAACATTTTATATGACAATTGTTCTAGAAGAACCTAGACAAATGATACATTTCCAAAGCAATATGAATATTGAATAGGATATAAAATACAAAGTTTAGTTTTATATAATCAGCCCTTTATCCATGGACACAATGTAGTAATCAGAACAGTGATTTAGGATTTTTTAAAGTATTGTTATTAGGAAGCAATTCACTGTAAGTGAGAACCAGCTGTGAAACAATCACCATATTAGACACCCAAACTTCAATGATGAGACAGCTGACCCCCTAGCCTAGTGATTAGGGAAGCAAGATCCCACGTGGCCAACTTTAGTTTGAGTCCCAGCCCTGGAGCCTTGAAAAATACGCTAGGCGTATGTGTGTGCATGCGCAGAATCCCGGCAGGATGAAGAGATGGAGAAGGAGGTGTGACATTACCATTCTCCATTGGGGGATACTGTCTCCCTCGGTCTGTCTGTCTCTTTCTGGCATGCACACAAACCTCTGGCAATTAAAACAAGATAGAGAAATGGTTGTAGATGTTCTAAATAAAAGGATGCTTAAATGAGACAAGATGTAAAAATGGAATCGAGACCATAAGAAACATAACTAAGAAATATTGAATTAAAAAAGGTCCGTTCATATTTGAATATCTAACAATATAAAATATAGATAAAATGAAGAACCAGTGGAGGCCTGAAGAGCAGATTAAGCACAAAAGAAAACCGTTAACTGGAAGAATAAATTTTAAAAATTCCTATAATGCAGTGGAGAGTCATAAAGACACAAAAGGAATAAAAGAAAGGTTAAGAAAACTGTTTTTAAGAATCGCTATATATCAGGACCAGCAGATGGCGTAATGGTTACCTTGCTGAACTCCCACGTAGTAAACCAGTTCGAGTCCCAGACCCAGCGGCTTAAAACTCATGCAGGGCGCGTGTCCAAAATCCCAAGAGGAGAATGAAGGAGAAGGAATTGCAGTGTGGCCATTTCCCCGGATGGTGATTTCTCACTTTCTATCTCTCTGTCTGTCTGGCAAACACACATAGCCTATAGCAAAAAAATCTCTCTTAATAAAAAAAAAAAAAAAAGAATTTCTATATATCAAATATAAATCACCGTAGGAGATACTGAGTTGAAGGGAGAAAGGGAGAAATATTCAGTGAGAAGTGTGAGATTCGGAGTACTTAGATTCAGCAATATTACTAACAGGATTTGAGAGGCCAGACCAGTGGCATGATGGCTAAGGTGTTGGACTTCCACACCTTAAGTCCCAGGACCCAGTGGTTTGAAAATCACCCCAGGGGGACCAGCAGGTGGCGTGGTGGTTAAGGTGCTGGACACTCCCACATGGCCAACCACGGTTCAAGTCCTGAATCTGGTGGCTTGCTTTCTCACTTCCTTTCTCTCTCTCTTTCTCTGCCTCTCTCTGGTCAAATTAAAATAAATGAATAAATAAAGAAAGAAAGAAAGAAAGAAAAAAGAAAATCACCCTAGGTGCATGTGTGTACATGGTCAGAATCCCAGGAGGAGAAGGGATTGCAGTACGGTCATCCCCTTAGGGGGTGATTTCTCACTTTTCCTCGGTCTGTCTCTGTCTCTTTCTCTGGCCAGCGCAACACACCCTATGGCAAAAACCTAATAAAAAAGAATTTACTAGCAAACGTTTTTACTTAAGAGACTGGATTTACAGCATCCTTCTAAAATATGCTATTGTCCATGTGTTCTATGTTTGCAGGTATGATTTTTTTATTGTGAGTCAGATTGTGAGAGAGGGGACCGTGACGCCCACTCATTATAATGTCATCTATGATACCCTTCGCTTGGACCCGGATTCAGTCCAGTGTATAACCTATAGGCTGTGCTACATGTATTTTAATTTGTCGGTAAGTATTTCTTGTTATTGAGATCCCTTCTTATCTGTAAAAAAAAAAAAATTATTATTCAAATTGGACCTTTACAAATTTTAAAATAATTTTTAATTTCATTTATTTATTATTATGATTACTTATTGACCAAAGAGAAACAGAGAGAGGGGCAGTGAGAAAGCAAGGTGCCAGGTTCGAGACTAGAACTGCTGTCAACCATGTGAGAGGAGTCCAGCGCCTCAACCACCATACCACCTGTCAGCCCCCCAAATTAAACCTTTTTAACCCATTGAACAATGTTGAACCTTTGAATTGACATTTATGAAAATTTAAATGTAGGAAAAGTAGTCATGAAGTTAAAAAAAAAATGTTTCTTTTTTTTCTTTCTACTAAAGGGTATCATTCGAGTGCCAGCTCCCTGCCATTATGCTCACAAACTGGCTTACCTCGTGGGTCAGAGTATTCACCAAGAACCACACCGCTTACTCTCCGAATGTCTCTATTACCTTTGACTTCCAGAAAAGGCCCGATATGATGTTGACAGCCACAACTTGTTAGTTTTTCCACTTGAAGTTGGACGTCTCAATTATTTTCCATAATCTTAAATTCTTTCTTTTAAAGAGGCTTTTGCCTTAGGGCGCATATGCTCTCCAGAGAGAGAGACAGTGAGATGGAAAGTGAGAAATCACATTCACACACACCCCCCGCCGCCGGTGGGGGATGGCCATACAAAAATCCCTTCTCCATTCTTCTCCTGGGATCTTAGGCATGCTTTTCCTGGGATCTTGGGCATGCAACACATGTACCCAACGTGAATTTCAAGTCACCAGCTCTGGGACTTGAACTATAGTTCAGTCATGTGAGAGTCCAGCAATTTTACCACTATGCCATCAGCTGGCCCCTTTCAGCTTGAAATTCTGATCATGCTTAATTGGTCATGGAGAGATTCAGAATGATGTGTCTACTTCTAACACTGTGTGGACTTGACACAGACTTGTTTTCCAGGGGGGAAGACTGATGGGGGGAAGGTTTTGCCTTGCCATTTGCCTTTCAAATATGTTACGAAGGTATTATAATTAAATGCGCCTTAACATACTGTATTCTAGTGTCCCCCTAATAATTAAAAAGATTGAGCATTAGTCATATATGGAGTCCATCTGTGAACAAGTAAGTTATACTTAGAGAACTCTATCACCTTTGTTTTTGAAACATTTATTTGTTTTTTAAAGGACAAGAGAGAAAGACTTGAAAAAATCAGACAGGGATTTGTGTTACTTAATATTTTGTACTTGAAAGTAACTTTTTTTTTTTTTGGAGAGGTTTTCGCTATAGGGCGCATGCGCTCACCAGACAGAGAGAGACAGAGAGACAGAAAGTGAGAAATCACCCCCCAGGGGGGATGGCCACGCCACAATCCCTTCTCCTCCATTCTCCTCTCAGGATCTTGGACATGCACACACACATGCCCGGCGTGAGTTTTAAGCCACCGGGTCCTGGACGCGAACCACGGTCGACTACATGGCAGGTCCAGCAACATAGCCATTACGCTAACTGCTGGTCCCGGAAGTAACCTATTATTGATACATTATGTATGATAGATGGCGTTAGTCTTTGTATCCAGATGAGAATTTGAGTGTATTTTTGGTGCAGAGGTATTAAGGGGAGTCTCCGAGTTTAAAAGTTGGCAGTTTAAGGACCAGCAGGTGGTACAGTGGTTAAGGCACTGGACTTCCACATGGTTTGAGTCCCAGACCTGGCAGTTTGAAAATCATGCCGAGCGTGTTTGCATGCGTGGCCAAAATCCCAAGAAGAGAATGGAGGAGACGGAATTACAACATGGCCATCTGCCCTGGGGCAGGGGAGGGGGTGTCAGTGGTTTCTCACTTTCCCTTTCACCATCTCTCTCTGGTGAGTGGATGAGCCCTTTGGCAAAAACTTAAAAACAAACAAATAAAAAGAAAACCTTGGCAGTTTAGGAGCACAGAAGCATTTTGTCATTTTTCCACAGAGGAGGGCTGTATTAGCATTTCTGTCGAGTCCGTTCTGTTGTACCTGCTCCCAGTGGAACATTATTATATTAGCTGTACCATAATCAGGAGAATAAGTTGTTTAAATGAAGTTATTTTATTTTTCCTGAAAGTAGACACTTTTTTCTCTCCCCTTAAACTATCTTTAAATAGAATCAGGAAGTGTTTTTTTGAATTATTTTTTTATTTATCATCATTATTATCATCTTTCAGAGATTTTTACTATTGGCTGTGTGCACTCACTGGAGAGACAAAGACAGAAAGCAAGAAATCGCCCCCCCCAGGGGGAATGGCCACGTTGCAATCCCTTCTCCTCCATCTGCCTTTTGGGATTTGGGGCACACACGCACACGTATCCAGCGTGAGTTTCAAGCTGCTGAGTCCGGGATTGGAAACACAGTTGACCAACCACGGTCGACTACATGGCAGGTCCAGCAACATAGCCATTACGCTAACTGCTGGTCCCGGAAGTAACCTATTATTGATACATTATGTATGATAGATGGCGTTAGTCTTTGTATCCAGATGAGAATTTGAGTGTATTTTTGGTGCAGAGGTATTAAGGGGAGTCTCCGAGTTTAAAAGTTGGCAGTTTAAGGACCAGCAGGTGGTACAGTGGTTAAGGCACTGGACTTCCACATGGTTTGAGTCCCAGACCTGGCAGTTTGAAAATCATGCCGAGCGTGTTTGCATGCGTGGCCAAAATCCCAAGAAGAGAATGGAGGAGACGGAATTACAACATGGCCATCTGCCCTGGGGCAGGGGAGGGGGTGTCAGTGGTTTCTCACTTTCCCTTTCACCATCTCTCTCTGGTGAGTGGATGAGCCCTTTGGCAAAAACTTAAAAACAAACAAATAAAAAGAAAACCTTGGCAGTTTAGGAGCACAGAAGCATTTTGTCATTTTTCCACAGAGGAGGGCTGTATTAGCATTTCTGTCGAGTCCGTTCTGTTGTACCTGCTCCCAGTGGAACATTATTATATTAGCTGTACCATAATCAGGAGAATAAGTTGTTTAAATGAAGTTATTTTATTTTTCCTGAAAGTAGACACTTTTTTCTCTCCCCTTAAACTATCTTTAAATAGAATCAGGAAGTGTTTTTTTGAATTATTTTTTTATTTATCATCATTATTATCATCTTTCAGAGATTTTTACTATTGGCTGTGTGCACTCACTGGAGAGACAAAGACAGAAAGCAAGAAATCGCCCCCCCCAGGGGGAATGGCCACGGTGCAATCCCTTCTCCTCCATCTGCCTTTTGGGATTTGGGGCACACACGCACACGTATCCAGCGTGAGTTTCAAGCTGCTGAGTCCGGGATTGGAAACACAGTTGACCACATGGGAGTTCAGCAATGTAGCTACTGTGCAATCTGCTGGCCCCAATTATTATTATTTTTTTATTTGCTAGAGGACACGGAGCACTCACCAGAGAGAAACAGGGGCCGGGACGGAGTTAGAAAGCAAGCCACCGGGTCTGGGACTTGAACCGTGGGTGATCATGTGGGACTCCAGCACATGAACCACCACACCACCTGCTGGTCCTGTTTTTTTTTTTTTTCTTTTCTTTTTTTCTTATAGTCCTAAATACAGAGATATCTGGGGGATTGGGATTAGCTTCAAATATGCCAAAGAGGGTGCACTTGAAAACAATGCAGTTGCTTTAATGATATGTTAATCAATGTAGGCTTCCAATCTGAACTGGCCTGAAAAGAAACAAAGTCAAAACAGAAGTCATTTAATATATTATAACCCAGGTTCTGTCCTATTGAGCAGTACTGAAAATAGTTATAAACAGTTTAGGACAAGCATTCACAATTAAAAGAAAAGTTGATGTTCTTTAATGAAGTTAGAATTTATGCTATTTTAGAGATAAAACACCATTTGATAGGAACAAACTGAAAGTTGCTAGTAAAACGTCCTGTTTCCTCTACTGCAATATGTACAAACATAATTTATTCCCAACACTATTCAATATAAAATGATGTGATTCAATAAAGTTATTCACGCTATAGATGCTGAAGTGAGTATCAGTATTTTATTTATTTTAGTTTTTGTTATAGGGTACGTGTGCTCGACAGAGAGAGAGAGAGAGTGAGCGAGAGGGAAAGTGAGAAAGTACCCCTAGGGGGATGGCCATGCTGCAATGCCTCCTCCCCTGTTCTCCCCTCAACATGTTGGACATGCACACACACACACCTAGCGTGATTTTCAAGCCGCTGGGTCTGTGACTCGAAACTCGGAGTTGGCCATATGGAATCCAGTCACCTTAACCTACACACCACCTGGTGGCCCATTGAGATCATTATTTTAAGGTTTTTTTTTTTTTTTACTTTAATCTAGAGAAAAGTGTTATTTTTCTAAAATAAATGGAAATAGTGTTTTGACCGGGGAACTGTCAGATTGCAGTACCCCGTTAGTCCCTTATAAATCAGGTGAAGGAAGCTGGTATCTGCTGTTTCCAAGAGAAAATACCAAAGGTTTATGTATAACATGTTATTTTCTTTTTTAAAAGGTTTTTGCCATAAGGCGTGTTACACTCACCGAACAGAGACAGACAGGGAAAGTGAGAAATCACCCTCTGGGGACATGGCCCCACAGCAATCTTTTCTCTTCCATTGTCCCCCTGGGATATTGTGCATGTATGCACATGTACCTGGCATGAGTTTCAAGCTGTCATGTTCAGGCCTTGAACCACAGTCAGCCATGTGGGGGTCCAGCACCTTAATCGCTTCGGCACCTGCTGGTCCCAAGATAACATTTTCTGGAAAATATAACAGTGTTATATATTCTGAGTGGGGATTGGGGTGCTAGGGTGATGGTGTGTCATCTAAAATCAGTAGAATGAAGTCCACTCTTTTAGCTGAGATCTTATAATTACTCATTTCTATCTTATTTTGTAAAACAAAGACCAGTGTGGTGCTGGCCCCTCCGTTTAGAGTAGTGGTTAAGGAAGCCAGATCCCACAGGGCCCACTGTGTTTCAAATCTTGGGCCAGTTCCTGACGACGTGTCGGAGGCTGTCTGTGGAACAAAGACTATGCAGTGACCAAGGAGGCTTGTTCCACTTGGCAGATACCCCAGAAGGAGCCAGGAGGCAGCATCAGAGCCTGGGGCTCAGGCAGAGGTGCCCAAGGGCACTGTGGCTGCAGATGGTGGGCAGGAAGCCAGGGGCGTGTGATCAGGCCCAGAGAAGGGGACATTCAGCCGAGAGTCCTGCACTTGTCGTTTGTGTTCCGTTTGCCCATTCTGAAGCCAGGTTTTTATCTACACCTCTGGGAGCTGGATCTCCTTGGCAGCTTCTGCTTCAGGGGCCCGGGTACTGGTGGTGCTGGAAGGCACCCTCCAAGGCAGTGAAAGCTGTGTGGACCTGGGGGGTCTTCAAGAGGGGTCTGGCTCCACACACAACCCAACCACGGGCATCTCAGCACAGACGGATCTGAGGATGTAACCTCCACTCCAAATCATCTGAGGAGGTTTCCGAATGCCAGACACCTGACCCGGCCTAAGGAGGTTCCTGCAGACCTTCAGCAGATCTGAAGGTGTGGGTCGGTTCAGAGCAGCTGATTTGGGAGAGCCCACTCACCGAGCCAAAACTGGAAGGGGGCTT